TTATGTTTTTTTTTTTCATTTTAAAAATATGTTTTTCTCTTTCCCCCTTTCCGTTTGAAAAAAACGCATGTGTTCAGCCTAATTAGTTTTGTATACCAATAATATAATAGTTGTACATAATTTTACGTGATGTGCATAACAATATTATTGTATTTCGTAGTCTTATTATTAATATCATTGCGATATTTTATTATTTTGTAGTCGCGTATTGTACTCTTACCCCCTTGTATTGTGTATAATGTTACATTATTATTTATGTGACGAGACGGAAGGCGTTAAACATTTTGAATATATATTATAATTATAATACTTATAGTACATTTTGTTTTTCTTCTCGTAGGTATATGATATGAAAATAAAAATATATATTACGTTTGTCATCGCGTGTTATATCGTATTTTTATTATTGCATTAGTTTTTTTTTCAATATTAGTGTGTGTTTCTTTTTTTTTTGTTAAATAGTGTTACAAAACTAACCAAATACGTCGTGTTCGTAACTCGTGCACCCCCACCTCTCCCCACCTGTAAACCCGTTTATGTCGCGAAATTGCTTAGCAAAACAAATCATAATATAATATAAATGAGTACAGCAAGTTCACTTTCGTTTGACATTTTTTACTGTTTTGAGTTTGAAAAAAATTAATTTTTGTCAGTTCTACATTGTACCCCGATAGTTAAATCTCCCTCTTATTATTATTATTATTTTTTTTTTTTTTAGTTTAAGACTTTTTGTTGTTATGCGAAGCTCAATCTAACAAATAAATAATTTTTTTTGCGGTTTGTTTAATTATTATAATTTGTTGTTTATTCTAGTTTTATTTGGAACAAAAAATAACTAATGGCTATAACATTGATAAGACAGTATAGAGTATTCTTAAACCAAAATAATATCATACTAAGCTTGCCGCAGCACCATTTATGAAAATGTTATTATAAGATTACGGAAAACGATGACTGCAAGGAAAAAGCCTACCGCGATTGCCGTGTTATGGGCATCGAGCTTTTGATAATGTACAAACAGTTTATAACAGCGTTTCCCAAAGTGTGTTCCGCGGAACCTTAGGGTTCCGTTAGATGTATGAGATTATTGAGAAAATTATGTTTATTTAATGTTTGTTGTTTAAAAAATGTTTGATTGAAAATTTTTTTTAAACCAAGTTTAATAATGAAAAGTCATTAACAGTATCATTAAAATATTATTTGGACTTGAGAGTTTAAGGAATTGAGTTTCCTTTTTTAATTTACAAAAATTGTGGTTAGGTTGGATTAGACATTAGGGTTCCGCGAAACACAAACAATTTTTTAAGGGTGCCGTGGTCGTAAAAGTTTGGGAACCGCTG